GACGTAGGCCCGTAGTCTGGAAGACACAAATCTGATAAACAAGTCTGTAGGGCCCAAATGTAGAGAGAAGTAAAAGAGCAAGAGGCCCATTAAAATCATTTACATTTGACCTGCAGGATTAACTGATCTTGTTACTGCCCCAAGCTTCCACTCTGGTTCCAAATATCTTTCTTCTCCAAACCAAACTGAAGATGTTTCTGATTCAATTTCAGTAATTTGGGGTATGGAATGACTACACATTCATGTCAAAACAGCAAGATCTCGCACACTTGCATTGTGCTTACATCTTTTACTGATCCCTTGCTCTGATTCTAGCAATTTGCTATAAAAGGATAAAGCAGGAACGAAATTTGTATCAAGTATGACAGGATAAAACATCCTGAGATCTGTTTGAATTCACAGTTTTCCAAGCATGCAGTATCAGTACCACCTCATAGCATGGTAGGTAACATTCCTTTTCAAGGGAACACAATGAGGGAACTGAGCCAGGAGGATCCTGTCTTAGACTGAGGCTAAAATTTTCTTCTCAGCTTTTCCCAAAGGAGGCCTCCCACTTGTATCACATTCTCTCTGAGTAGCTTGTGGCATTTTTCTCATATGGTGGATTATTATTGACTATTGATTATTGATGGATTATTAGCCATTAGACAACTCAAAATAAAATCAGTTACAGTCCCACGCGCTTTTACATCAAACAGCTAGTTTTACTAATCACAGGTTAAGGGAAATTTTTCCAGGATTTACATGTCAAATTTAAATTTTCCTGGTGTAAAAGTCAATCCTTAGAGATCATTTCTATATACTTACAAATTCTCAGCAAGCCAAGTTCATTGTTTAGGAATTCCATAGCCCAAAGAAGCCTTTTGTCAGGTTTACAAGATAAAGAGGATTGACAAAGGACCCCAGAGAAAGGGCTTCCTATCTGCCCTATCTATACCCTTAGAACTGAGGACTGCTCTGAATGGGCAGAACCAATCTGGATGAGGCTTTCACCTCATCCCTTCCTTTCCATACAATTAATTACCATATGGTAATTAATTACCAGCTTTAGGTCTTAACATTAAAACAATAACCAACAATCTTACAATTTTTGGTTAAGTGATAGTCAGATTGTTTTAGGTGTAACCAAATTGCGAAAAGTTTCTTGATATAACTAATATAAAAGTCTACCAATTTGAAACAAACCCATTACCAATGAGGTGACTTCAATTTTGTTGAATGCGTTTCTGAATTACTTTATACTGAGAATCGGCATCTCATGATTAACGCATTAAAACTACAACTTTAATAGAGTAGGCTGGCTTCCCTCTCTCTCCCAGGGCTTCTAGGGAGGGGTGAGCAGGATGTGTGGAACCTGGGTGATGCTTCCAGGCTTTCTGGGTTGCCCTGGGGCCCAAGGCCATTACCAGTAGGCCCACTGCTGTAGCTGTTGCCCCGTCCTCCCTCCTTCCTTTCACCAGGTCGGGGAGGAAGAATGAAACTCTTCTCCTAATGTGATCTGGGATGAGAGGGGTTAACAGAAAAACCCAGGGCTGTTTGCTATCCCTGCACTAAACCTACCCTCTTGACTCTAGGGAAGGGAGTGATAGGGTTGTAAGGAGGTATTTCAAAACTCCTTAATGATCAATCACAAAACCTCCAGAATTTGCTAAGATGTTTTTAGCTGTTCTAACTTTTCACTGTATCCTTAGCCTGGTCAGAGCTACAAATGAGGAAATCCAGGCCATGAGGTATGAAGTGACTTATCCCCAAGAACACATAGTAGTGTCAGATTTGAATCCAGGTTTTCCTGCAAGTCCAGGTGTCTCTTCACTGCACTATGCTAATACTGTACTAATAAATTCATCCAAAGATGTTCCCCTGCTTTTGCACTTATACATTATTTACTGATTAAATTACTTGATGATAAGCTTTCCTCATTTCATCTTGTCCTTAACTCTCTTGTTTGTTCACACTATTAACCTTTAGTCCCCCCACCCCTTAGTTCTTTCCTAGGCCATCACCTTTTCAGTGTCTACAGTTTACTCCTTTCCCTATCAGCACTTGTTGATGAATCAACCTAATTCTATACTTGTTCTCTGTATTTGACTCTCTTTTGTCTGACCACTGATAGATAACACTTTGCCAACCCCAACCTTGGATTGCTCCTACTGTTTGCTGCCTTTGCTCCTGAACAGAGCTAGATAAAGTTATAAAACCATTTTGTCTGGGTCCATTGCAAATATTACCTAATCTGAATTGGGCCCTCAGTGAAGCAAGGCAATCCTTTTACGTCTCCATAATCAGTTTATTATTCTACTCACCAGTAGTCATTATAAACCTTTTCATCCTTACTCTGGTGTACCATGGCAAGTTTCTCACTCTCTGAGCTAAGGAATTGCATCATGATTCAGGGTAAAAATTGAGGCTATTCACCATGAACTTGACTTCTTGCTAATTCAATTCAAGAAGCATTTATTAAGCCCTTACTGTGTGCCAGACACTGTGCTAAATACTGGAAATACAAATGAAAGCAAAAAAGAAATTGGAATGGAGGAAAACAACCCATAAAATGAATCTACAAGAAATGAGGAGGCATCTAGAGAAATCTAGTGTAAAGACCAGGAAAGGAATGAATGAGTGAACGTGGCTGAGATTGCTAGAGGAACCAGCGTATCAGAGGAAGAGACAAGTTATGGGGTGGGAGTGAGAAGTCTAGGAGGGAGTCAGGAGCTTTCCTCAGAAAGGTATGAACAGCAAACAGCCCCCTGTATCCTTGGTCCCACTGGTTTCATCATTTCTGTGCAGATGATTCCCAGGTTTTTTTATGTATCCCAAATTTCTCTCCTTAGCTACCATCACAGTTTTGTATGTGTTGAATTGGACATCTTTAGGCTTCTTAAAACACAACATAACTATACAGCACTCATCCTTCCCCTCACCACCTCATGTCTTCTGAACTTTTCTATTAGGAGAAAAAGAAGTCTCAGTGACATCTTTCTTTCTCTTCCTTCCCTCCCTCCCTCCTTCATCTGTTTGCTTCTCATTCTCATTTTTCCTTCTCTTTTCAGCTGCACAGGACTATTACTACTGATGGCATTATGGGCCAAAGAGGTTAACTCCTCTTCCAGCCATTGAATCCATTTTGTTACATCACTGTTCTAAAACTTCTTGTTAGACTGTCAGACCTTAATGATATTTCAGTCAGCAAACTAGCATTTCTTGTAATTAAGCAGTTTATTATTACTTTAGACTGCTGTCCTCCTATGATGGAGTTAATTGAACATTTGCTGCAATGGTCCATATTAGTATAATTGGAATAACTTAAATTGAAAGACTTAGGATTACCTATTGGGGAATATGTTTGGGAATAGATATTGTATGGATTGCACAAATATAGTTGCTGATGTTCTTTTATACTAAACAAAATTACATCTGTTTGGTGTGGTACTGTTTTGTTTTTGCAGCAGAAATGGTAAATTAATTAGCATGATATATAGCAATACTCATTTCAAATAAACAAAATATTTCTTATTTTGTGAGTGAAGAAGCAGTATTATGTGTAGAGAAAGCACTGGGTTTGAGTTAATTATGTAATGAAATGTCTGGATCATTCATTTAACCTCCTTGAGACTTTCCTTACTCATAAAGGGGTATATTTGTACTACTTGCTTTATTTTACCTTTTGGGAGTTGTAAAAAATTCAGAAATTAATGGACACCAAATAAAATTAGTATTTCCATATACATTGTAAAATTGAAAGAGAGGGCTATACATACAACTAAAATTTTCGTTTTTAGAGTTTGTGGTTCTTTTAAAATATATAATAACTTCAATATATAGCTTTCAAAGCTGTCTTACTTTTCTGTGTTTTTTTTTTTCTGAAGCCCTATCCTATACTCTTTCTTGCTTACCCTTCAAATTCCCAAATGAAAATAAAAGAATTGAAGAACTCTGATAATGGCACATATCACTAATAAGCAAAACAAATTCCCACATTAACTGTCCAAAAACATGTCTCATTCTACCCTTTGAGTTTATCAGTTATCTGTGAGGAGGTAGGTAATAATGTGCTTCACCATTGATAAGGAATCAGAGTTCTTAATTCTTTCAGAGTTGTTTTACTTTGTAATGTTAATTTTTTTCATAGTTCTGTTCCCTCCCCTCTACATCAATTTATATAAGTCTTTACAGATTTCTCTGAAACAGTCCTTTTCATCATTTCCTGCTACTCAGCAATAATTACTTCTGTTCAGATGCCTTGATTTGGTAGCCATGAGAAAACATTTTTAATTTTAAAAAATCACCATAAAATATGGGTTATTGTGTGAATGGACTACATCAGGGGTGTGGGGAAACTGCTGTCTTAGGGCCATATGTGGTCTTCTCTGTCTTCAGGTGAGGACTTGTGACGGAGTCCAAGTTTCACAGAACAAATCCTTGTATTAAGGAAATTTGTTCTGTAAAGTTTGGATTCAGTCAGAGGGCTGCACTTGAGGACCTACAGGGCCACATGTGGCCTCAAAGCCGCAGGTTCCCTTCCCCTGCATAGTCACAGAAGTCTTTTCTACCTCTCATGCTCCAGGATTCTCTTCTTCTTGCAGTTGCAAAAGATTTGGAACATTTGACTACCTGAGTATGCCATCCTTTGCTAATAGTCTGGAGGATTGGCTTCTAGAAAAAATGATAGCTATATCAGGAGTTATTGGTCATAGAGTTTTGTAACTATTCTGACTGATTTTATGTTAAATTTGTATTGCATCTCTGAACTGTGCTCAGTTTATCAGATGATATATTAACATTGGAAGGTAGTCTAGTACATGATAGCCATGATGGGGGATGGGATGGGTTTGTATGAGGATATGTGTGTATACATATATATATACATACATAAGTGGAGGCACATCCATTTTTCTTTTGTTTCTAAGACCATAAATATGTGATATTAGATAATTTGTGGTCACAATGAACTTTAAAGAAAAAGCACAGCAAAGTACCTATGCTTTTTTTTTTCTATTCAGAGTGCATATCATACCTCACAAACAAAAGACATCATTAATGACAGACCATTTGGAATTAGAGGCAATCTTCAAAACCCAAGAACCTTTAGAAGACCTTTTAAGGTATTGGTTATGTGTTTATACTAAGTTTCAGTTTTGGCTATAAAATGATTCTGTAGGTATAGTTGCCTGAATATGTGTTTCATTTACAGTGTTAATGCATGACAGATGGTTTTGTGATGTCCTGTCAATTAAAAATTTATCTTTCAGGATCCTTGAACATGTATTATTTTGTAAATTTTCTTAAGATGACATTGAGGTACTGATAAAAATAGACAAAATCAACATAGTTTTTTTCCATACAACATATGTTAAAGATATTTTATTAGAATTATTTGAAAATGGTAATTTTGCACTTGGTAGTAGCTTGCCTTTAACCAAATTATTTTTGTTGCCATCAAAATTCTACTTACATGATTCAGAGATTACTTTGGGTTCTTATAGGCAAAACCTATAGCGGGGCACTGACACTAGGTGGTTTTACCAACCTGTTTATATTCCAAGAATGGAACTGGCAGAGCATAGAGAGATGTCATCACCTGAACATTGGGCACCAAGTAATGAATTTTTTCAGTTATAGAAATTTGTGTATACCATTTCCAAATTATAGAGATATTGTAATCTGCTTTATTGGAAGGAGCATCTACTGTACACTGATAAATTCATTGTTCCTGAGAATTTTACAGTTTTTATTAACCAGAACATTCTGTTCCCAAATTATTTTTTAAAATTTATCTGCTTTTATAATTTTTGGTGTTGTGTGTCTTACCTCTGTCTTGGTTAGGTTGCAATCCATACTTTTTCATAGTTGTAAATGGAAGTATAGTTGGAACATTAGAAGGGGGCAGACAAGAATGGAAAGAAGGTGTCTGAAAGTCTTAGATCTGGCCATCTGGATGATGTGAGCGATCTTGCTCTCTTTCAGGAGATGATCATTGCTCTTCAATGCCAAGTATAGTATTGATGGGATTTGTAATCCATGATGATTTTTGCTGTTCATAGTTGTTCACAAGAATATATACTTTATTTGTTAGGCATTCACTGGAGTGTTTTTTTAGACTTATCCAAGGATCTTAATGGTTTCTCATCCTTTCTGTGGAGAGATTTTTGAAATTTTTTTCCCCAAAATTGGCAAACTAGAGAGGAAGGTAGAAGAGTAGGTCAGAAACTTGGCTCTCCATATTTCCTCCACAAAAAAAGGAAAGAACATTGCCTCAGAGGAAACCTAGAACTGCAGAAGTAAACAGAAGTTTGGATAAAGCTGTTGTCCTCCTAAGACAACCTAAGAAGTCCCTAGGAAAGAAAGACCTGACCTCCAGGAGTGAGAGGCCTGAGTCACATGTAACTATCTCCAGGCCATTCTACCTAATTTACAAGCCCTAGGGGCAGCTTGGTTGGGAGGCAGCCTCAGTCTTAGGAGTTTTCACCTCATAGACAGTGTGGGAGTCAGAAGGCTGAGTAGGAGATGATTGAAGGACCTTTCACTTTAAAGGGACACTAAGCAGAGCTTTGCTGACCAGACACATCCCAGGTGGCTGTGTGGAGAACGAGCCAGCACATACCTGGTGAGTTATGGCTGTGGGTACTTATAGGAAAGCAGAGTCCTTGGTGTCAGTTCGAGGGCAGAGAGAACAGTGGTAGTTCGCAGCCACCAGAGGAGACCACAAGGAGCAAGAGCATTTGTAGCACTGTGGCTGGGGGCTCTAGCCATAGCTTAGGAGTAGAGAGGAGAACCTAAGGTTGGGCCACAGACAGACCTCAGAAAATAACAATAAGAAGTACCTGAGGTTTGGAACATCATTCCCCACACCTTGGGACTAGAACTTGATCATACTAATAGTTGCTGAAAACAAAATAAAACGAAAACTTTTTTAAAAATGAGCAAACAAAGGAGAAAGAACCCAGCCATAAATACCTGCTATGGGGACAGGGAAGATTAGGTCAGGGGAAGATAGTGGAGCTGAAAAAAAGCTACTCCTTTTTCAATGAGAAACGTCAAATGGTCCCAAGCACAAAAAGATTTCTTGGAAGAACCTAAAAACGACTTTAAAAGTCAACTAAGGGGCAGCTAGGTAGCGAAGTGGATAGAGCACTGGCCCTGAAGTCAGGAGTACCTGAGTTCAAATCCGGCCTCAGACCAAACACTTGACACTTACTAGCTGTGTGACCCTGGGCAAATCACTTAACCCCAATTGCCTTAAAAAAAATTAATAAAATAAAAATCAACTAAGAGAGATAGGGGGAAATTGGAGGAAAAAAATAAGAGCAGTCCAAGAAAATTAATAAAATTATGAAAAGAAAGTTAACCAACTTGAAATGGAGAATCAAAAACTTAAGGAAGAAAATAATTCCTTGAAAACAAGAATTGGGCAAGAGGAAGCTAATGACATTTTAAGGCACCAAGAAATAATAAAACAAATTTCAAAAAATTGAAAAGAAATAGAAGAGAATGTGAAACATCTCATCAGAAAGACAACTGATCTGGAGAACAGGTTGAGGAGAAATAATATAAGAATAGTTGGACTACCTGAAAATTATGATTTTTAAAAAAGGATCTTGATACAACATTACAAAAAATCATCAAGGAAAACTGCTCTGAAGTTTTACAACTAGAAGGCAAGGCAGAAATAGAAAAAATCCACTAATCACCACATGAAAGAGATCCTAGGAGGAAAACTTACAGGAATAGTATAGTCAATTTTCAAAGCTCCAAGGTTAAGGAGAAAATATTGGAAGCAACAAGAAAAAAAATAGATTAAAGTATTTTGGAGCTACAATAAGGATTACACAAGATCTAGCAACTACTATGTTGAAGGACTGTAAGTCTTGGAAAACTGTATTTTGTAGAGCAAAAGAGCTGGGCTTGGAGCCAAGGGTAACTTACCCAGCAAAGTTAAGTATAATCCTAGATGGAAAAGAAAAAAGACATTTCATGAACTGAAAGACTTTCAGGTGTTTGTTACAAAAACAAACAGAACTTAATGGAAAATTTGACATATAAGATCCAGGAGAAATACACGATAAACATTGAAAACCAATTATAAGGAACTCAATAAGATCAAATTGTTTACTTATTATATGTAAAAATATTATCAACACTTTTATGACTGTCATCATTATTTGAATAGTTTGAAAGAAAGGCTTGGGCTGAGCTGTCTTATGATGGGATGATTAAAAAAAACTGTAGGGAGAAATAAAAAAGAGTACTGATACAAATGAAGCATAAAAGGAAGAATTGAAACAGGAAGCTGGTAGGGAGGAGGGCAGGTAGTGCTAGAACCTTACTCTCATTGAAAATAGGTTAAGGAGGGAACAACATATATATGTGTGTGTGTGTGTGTGTGTGTGTGTGTGTGTGTGTATCTAGAAGGATATGAAAGTCTTCTAAATTCAGAAAGAAGTAAGAGGGCAGGGGGAGAGAATAAGGGAAGGATTTTTAGAGGGATGGGTAGGTTAAGGAATAGGTGGGCCAGGTAGTATAGAAAAGTAAAGCAGAGGAATGAGGAGGGATAGGGTAAATAGGGCAAGAAGCATAGTGAGAAAAATAGGAGGGAGGAAAATGAACAAATAATTATAGTTTAGAATGTGAATAGGATGAATTTACCCATAAAATGGAAATGAGTAGCAGATTAAAATTTTGAATTCAACAATATATTGCTTTTAGGAAACACAATAAAAATGAGAAGTACACACAAAGATAAAATAAGTGGCAGGAGTAATATTTTATAATCTAAAAGGGAGGGGGGTAGTAATCATGATCTCAAAGTTAAAGCTAAAATAAACTTAACCAACAAAGAAAAACGGGGAAACTACACTGTGTCAGCAATATTATTCAGTATTATTTTAGACCATTTAAAATAACTAGACATCATAAAATACCTGAGAGTATACCTGCAAAACAGACACAGGAATTATATAAACATAAGACACTTTTTATACAAATAAGGTCAGGTCTAAATAATTGGAGTAGTATTTATTGTTCATGGATAGGTAAAGCTCATACAATTTTTGAAATGACAGTTTTATCTAACCTATTTAATGCCATCCCAGTTAAATTACTAAAAAACAATTATCATACTGAGTTAGAAAAAATAATGGTAAAGATCATTTGGAAGAAAAAAAGGTCAAGAACTTAAGGAGGGAGATTCAGCAGTATCACACCTTAAACTTTATTGTAAGGTGAGAGTATTGTTGAAGTGTAAAATGGATAATTTTAATTATTTTAGATTAAAATTTTCTTGTATAAATAAAATCAGTGTAGCCAAGACTGGAAGCAATGCAGAACATTGGGAAAGAACTTTCATAGACAGTCTCAGGATGTGATTATTTTGGATTATTGCTGTGGTGTAGGCAGTGATGTTGATTTTGAAAAACATGGGATGACTTGAACCTATGAAGGAAGATGCTATCCACCTTCAGAGAAAGAGATCATAAGTAGGAATATGCATAGTACGATCTTACACACATATAAACATATACTTTATAGATTTGTGTGTGTGTGTGTATACATCTGTGTTTAATTGTAGCCTTCGTGGAAGGGTATAAATAAAATAAAAAGTACACAGCAGAAAACAAAAGAAAGCCTACAAGGAAGCAAAGAAAAGCTGAGTAGCTTAGAAAACAATGTATAGTATTTATTATATAGGTTTTCTTGAAATGGAAATTTATTGTTTTATATTGAATCTTTATGTTCTGCTGTGTACATGGCAGTGTTCTTTTTTTTTCTTGTTTTGTATTTAAGTTTAGAATGAGTAAAAAATTTACCAAAAAAATGTGTTTTCCTTGTGTGAACACAAGCTTAAAATTTTATAATGCTGTGTCATAATTTAATATTATACAATTCTTCCACAATGAAACAAAGAGGGAAAAATCCCAATATAAGGTATCCTTTCCCATATGATTGTGTTTTGGTTACTTGGAATCAGATACTAGCTCACCCATCAGGTTATTTGCAGAAACATATACATCTTCATTCTAACCATGATATGTAAAGTTTGGGCATATTATTAATTTTAGTAGAAACTACAGCTAGCCAAAGCCGCCATTGTTGCTAATTATAGTCAGCCCTAACAAAACAAGGAAAGAATTTAAGTTGGTTTAAATATTTTTTAAAAATTCAGATCCTTCAAATTACTAGGTGCTCATTTATATTTCTAAAATGAGGAGATGTCTAATTTTTATACTGGCATTAAAGAAAATTTGAAAACATGGCAAAGACTCATAAATTTGGCATTCAGTAGTCACTATTGTATAGATAGTTAAAGCTCTGATTAAATGCTTTTAGATTTGTCGATGTCATTTTGCCACTGCTACTACCCATGGAAACATTCTTTCATTAAGTGAAGGCAGTGTTATGTAGTTTAAAGAACCTTGGATTAAGATCAGAAATTATCTTGAATCTCATCTCTGATATAGCTTTGTAACTGTGGGTAAATCACCTAACCTCTTAAGCCTCATCTTCATCTGTAAAATGAAGAAGTTGGAGAGGCCCTGTGGTCCCTTTTGTTTCTAGATATGCAGCCCTACAAAGCAGTCCCTTTTTCTTAGCCACTGTTTTCTCATCTGTTAAAATAAAGTAGAAAATTTTAAATTGCCTACCTCACAGGTGTATTGTGTGAAAAGTAATTGATAAATCTTTAGGCGTTTTATAAATATCAGCTGTTCTTGTGTGTGATCCAAATCCAGTTGGCCTTTTCTTAATCCTCAGAGTTCTTGACCTCTCTGCAGCCTTTCAGAACACTAAACTCTCCTGGTTCTCCTCCTCCTACCTGTGTGATTGCTCCTTCTCAGTCTCCTTTGTTGGATTTTCATCCATGTCACACCCACTAATCTTGAGTGGTCTGCAAAGCTCTGGTCTAGGCCCTTTATTTTTTTCCTCTCCTTCTATACTGTGTCACTTGGTGATCTCATCAGTTCCTATAGATTGTTATCTTGCTTATGCTGATGATTCTCATGTATTTATTCCGCCCTAACCTCTCTGCTGACCTCCAGTCTTGCATCTCCAATTGCCTGTTGGACATCTAGAACTAGATGTTGTGTAGACATGTTAAAGTCAACATGTCCAAAACTGAACTCATTATCTTTAATCCCTCAAAACCTTCCCCCTTTCCAAATTCCCCTTTTCCAAATTTTTTTATTATTGTCAAGGGTGCAGTCATCCTCCTGGTCTGTTACCAAGACCTATTGACTTACCTTTGTAAAATAGGCTCCCTTCTCTCCTCTGATACACCTTGCTGCTGGTATAAGCCTTCATTACTTCATACTTGGACTATTGCAATAACCCATTGGTTGGTCTGCCTGGTACAAGTCTCTCCCCGCTCCAGTCCATCCTCTACTCAGCCAGCAGAGTGATTTTGCTAAAGCACAGGTTCAATCATGTCACCTCCGTACTCGGTAAATTTCAGTGACTCCCTATTACTTTAAAGTCCTCTGTTAGGCATTCATAACCAGCCGCCCACCACCTAGCTCCCAGTCATTCTAATCTCCTTACACTTTGTACCTCACCACATGCTGCTTTATGATCAAGTAGCATTGACCTCCTTGCTGTTCCGCAAACAATACTCTTTATCTCCTGACTCTGGGCATTTTTGCTTGGCACAACCTCTTGTTCTCCTTCCTTATATCCATCTCCTGTCTTTCTTAAAATCTCAGCTAAAATCCTGTTTTCTGTAGGAGTCCTTTGCCAAGCTCTCTTAATTCTGATGTCTTCCCTTTGTATGTTGTTTGTATAGTTTGTACATTTGACTGTGAGCTCTTGAGTGTAGAGATTGTCTTTTGCATTTCTTTGTATCCCTAGCACTGTTACGTAATAAGTGTTTAATATGTGATTATTGATTGACTTGAGTTCATAACCCTCCCAAACATCACTGTAATTCTCATGGGATATTAAAAGCCGAGTAGAGAATGAGGTTCAGACTCATTGGCCTTGACATGCCAACAAACTTAGGTGTATTGACTAACTATTTTTGTTACTGTTGTCTTTGATATTTTTTAACTAGAATACTCTTCTTCATAGTTTGGAGATGGAGGTGAAAAATATTTATCAGGATCCTGTTGGTAGCTTTGGGCAGGCATGCTGACTATGGCAGCGTGTTTGCTTTTGCTGACCCTTTGGTTTTATCCCTTTCAAGTTGTTCAAAACTTTTCTCCTTTCCTCTCCCTTCCATGAATGTGCTGTGATTAGTCATTGCCTTACCCTTCTTCCTGGCCAGCAGTCTATTTGAGAGTTATTCCTATGGATATACAATCTGATTTTATCATGGAAACCCCCAAGAAGAAAGACATTTTGCAGAAATTCACCTTACAACAAACTTTGGAATTCACAGATTCTATAAAATAAGCTATACTTGTATTTTTCTCCTTTTAAAAATATACAGTTTGTTTTTTCAAAAATATACAAAGAAATACAGAAAAGTATTGTGTCTTTTTGTTTTGTTTATTCCGTCATTCCTGTAATTACTCTGAAGGCAATGACAGACAAGTAATCCATGTTTTAAGAAATAAGGTAACAGAAGTGGTAGGTGGCGTTTGATAGGCAATATTAGGGAGAAAAAAGAATAATACTACCTTCTCCATTATTTTGAGATTTCTTTTTGGAATTGTTTGTACCTTTGGAAGTATACATAGTGTTTAGATACTAAATCTTTTGGATGGCATTTGAGAATTAAGTCCTAGTCCTGGCTGTTATATACTTACTTGCTATGTTACCCTGAGCAGGTTGATCTCTCAGTCTCAGTTCCCTTTTCTGAAAACTAGGAATGATACTTAGGGTGGGTTTACCTCATGAATATTGTAAGGCAGAAATGTCAAGCTTGTGGTCCACAATATTCCCAAAATATGGCCTGAGCCAGCTTGAAATATAGTTCCTTTCTTATTTTAATGTGTTGATGCATTAATAATAATAAAATAATTAAAAACATGATAAATATGAACATGTGTGATTTTTCTAGTCAGTGTGTGATCTGCAGAGATTCACATGTACTGTTTAGTGACCCCCCTTTCTATTTGAGTTTGATACCGGTGTTATGAGAATTACTTATAATGCTTCTTACTTTCATTTATCTGAGCACACAGATAACTTCTCCATGTCATTTTGTTCTGTGCAATTCTTATTTAAAATATTTCCTTATAAATGAAATTGAATAGGCATCTATTAATTACCTTCCATGTGAAAGACATTGGGTTAAATGATGGGAATATAAAAATGAAGCACTCCCTGCCCTCAAAGTGAGCTTACATTCTATTAAATCCTTCATAGAGAAGCCATCCTATATTCTGTAGGAGGTAATACTTGAGTTGCTTCTTGAAGGAAGAGGGTTATTCTATGAGACAGCCATGAGGAGAGAATTCATTCCGTGAAATACACTGAATTGGCAGTATTGGCAGTATGATCACAGCTCATGAGATGGCTTGAATATGCTGTCTCCTAACAAGACACATCTTTTTCAAATGAGTGTTTTATTTAAAATTTTTAAAAAATTTAGGTATCAGCAGTTAGGTTTTTTGGAGGAAAGTCACTGTATAATAAAATATTGATATAGTAAAGTCTATTGTGTTTTTGAAGTCATTTTTTTTTAGAGATCAAAAGGTAAATGTTTATTTTTGAGCTTCACCAGGTATAGATATAATAAAAGGGATATAAATGATGGCTTTTGAGATACCAAGGCATGTAATCTAGTGAGCTAGTTTTGTTTGTTTGTTTTTTAATTTATAGTTGAAATTTGGACAGTCTTAGCTTATTTGCACAGAACCTAGCAAGTTGTTTATAATTAATTTTAATGAACTCAGCATCACCTTATTACCCTTATTATATCATTCTTTGAATATCTGAAGTATTTAACATTCAGAGTTATTCTATAATGGATTTTTCTGTAATCACTACTGTTAGCTGTAACAATATGACTGTGTCAAGATAATGTCTGAAAATATTATTTTAAAGATGAAGTGGAGGTATTACTGAAGAAGATAAAACTAATGTATTATATATTTTAAAATATTGCCTATGTCACATTTGAAAATGGCAGTTCTGTCATTGTGTCAGTAAAGTATGATTAGGAATCTAAATAGTTTAAAACTGATTTTGTCTTTTTTTTTTCTTTACAGAACAATTTGATAGATGGCAGATTCCAGCCCCATTATAAATCAGGCCTAGTACTGAAGGGTTTGTATGTTCAAGCTAAGTACCAGCGCTTACGTTTTACTGGTTCACGAGGATTTACCACTAATAAATTCAGAGAAGAATTTCTAAAGGAAGAAAAGGTTAGTTTGCTTAAAATCATATTTACTAAAAATTTTAAGTGATTGTAAAGTTCTCAATTTATTAGAATTTATCTTGAATTTAATTGATTTTAATTAAAATTTCTGAATATAGCAACTTTTCTCATGGCAGAGTGTAAGTGTGAGGGGTAATTAATAAGAATATTTAAGCAGAAAATATTTTTAGGTCTAATTCATGTTAATAAAATACAGAATAACCTACTTTAGATCTTCTGGTATCTATTGTTATGATTGCAAGTTAAATTGTACAAAATATGGATAAGCATTAAATGGAGGAAAGCATTAAAATTGTAGTTTTGTTTAATTATAACATAATCCATAATTTCAGTGTATTTTCAAAGCATTAAGAATTCTTGGAAACCCAGTCAGTTGCAGGTCTTCATCATGCACCCCGTCCACTTGTTTGTTTTTTTATATGTTGTCTTTCCCCCATTAGACTGTGAGCTCCTGCAGGGCAGAGTCTGTCTTTTACCTTTCTTTGACTCTCCGGCACTTAGTTCAATGCCTGGCACATGGTAGGGTTTAAGAATATTTTTTGTGGCTTATGAATTTAATTTTTTGTTTCTACTTTACCCTTACTGCCATGATCAGCCACAGCTTAGAGGAAGATGCTTCTCATCTTTACTGCTTGAGGCAGTTTGCATGGCAGCAAGTCTTTAGCCTACAGGCCCTGAGCTTTGAGAGAATTGTGGGCAGTTTTTCAGGCCACATGCAGGATGGGCATGCCAAAGGAAGCCAGTTAAGAATAACTCCTATTGCCAAATCAGTATTAGAGGTTCCTTATCTGAAGCAGGCTTTATTGCAGTTTCAGTGTCCTCAGGTTTCTGGTAGTTCTGTGAGCTTCTGCTCTCCTCACTGTCTTCCTGGGTTTCACTAACTGGTTGGTTGCTCTTGATTTATGATTCCTCTTGAGCTCCCTACTTCTCCTTGCTATTATTTTCTCATATCCTTGCCTATATTGGAATCATTCTGTTTTGATTTGGCTTCTGCCTGACTGGCTGCTTCCCTTACATGTTACTACAGCTGCTTTGTATTCTTTTGGGTCTGTTTTGCTCCTACTACTTGGTTCTAATGTCATTCTTAGCCTTTGCCTTTGCTCTTCCAGCTCTGGGTTACTATCTTGTCTTTCTTCTACTTTACCTGTGGTCCAGCTGGGCAGTAAACTGACATCATGCTCCAATTGTTTATCAGAAAACAACATGGACTATAGATCATGAGACACCTAATGAAGCTCTATCAGAAACCCTCAGGACACTGTAGGATAGATGATTTCTTGATATATTAAGGTACAAACTTTCTCATGAGAGGCCCAGCACAGCCCTCCATTTTTCCTACTGATTGCCTACCTTTTTTCTGGAGGTTCATTTACATTAATACTTTGTTCATTTTTTTAAAAATGCAGATTTTGAATCAGCATCCATTCCAGAATCTTACCAGGTTTGTCCTTCAGGCCACTGTGGTTGATGCCTGATGGTTGAACTTTACCATCACTTGTGGTGGGTTATTCCTGCATTATGGGTAATAAAAATAATTTTCTTCATTATATGACCTGCATTTTTAGAGGCTGAGACCTGTGTAGCTTAAGCACTTACTATATCAACTTACATGAATTCCATCCTAGAGCTGAATTCTGCTATCTTCTGGTCAGTGGACCTCACTTCTGCCGTGAGTCTTGTATGGTTCTTTGTTTAGAGCTTCCCATGTTTGAGTAGACAGTGGGTCCACCCAATTTGTTGGGCTTTGTTGCTTTTTTCCTGACATCATGAGGATAACAGTGGATTATTCTGGCTGTCTCTTATCCCTCCCATCCCTCGCCACATCAGCAGCCCATCTTCTCTTTCTCTAATATTTTTCCTTGGTAACAGTTACTACTCCTCTTAGCTGTTTATATGTTTTATTACCCTCTGCATTTTATTTAACTTTTGGTCCTTTACAGGCTATTGAAATGATACTAGTAGAATGTCGGCTTTTGAAAAGATTGGCGTTTGTTTCCATGGTAAGCTTGTGAGCATAAAAAGAGCTCTGTAATTTCCCCAGGTCATTCCAACCTGCTCTCCTCCTCCTGTCCATTTACTACCATCTATTCTACTTGATTTCTCCAACTCCATTAATATCATGCTTCCTCCAGAATAAGGTCATCATCAGAAATGTTATCATGGAGAGTGCTTCAAGTATGGTACTCAGCACCACCTCCGTATCCTCAGTTGCCTCTTCTCTGATTGGGGAGTGGAGCAAAAACTTCCAAAAGCCTTCCCTTTATAGAGGGTTCAGATTTTCTAATTCTTTATTTCCCACAAGCTTCTCTGCTTGGTTTTGGTTACACAAAAATTCCCATCCTCCCCACCCTCAAATACCTAGATCCCCCCCTTCATCTTTTCAGCTTCCTTTTGTGTGTTGTCTTCCCCCATTAGACTGTAAGCCCCATGAGGTCACAAACTGTCTTTTTCTTATTTATATTACTATCCCTTAACACAGTGGCCTGTCACTTAGCAGACACTTAATAATTGCTTTTTGACTGTTGATTCTTCAATTCTAGGCCCAATTCATCCTCCATCTTTGCTAACTGTCCCATGTTCATACAGATGCATATTGTAATATGGGCCCTAGACATTGTTCATCTGTTTACCTTGGTCTTTTTTTTTTGTTGTTCATGGCTTTCAGGTAATTTAATAATTCTTAAATTATCTCTCCATGATATATTTTCCAGGTCAGTATTTTCATAATTTCATAATTTTAAAATTCTTTTTTCTTTGTTTTATTGTTTCTTGATTTTTGGAGTTATTGCTTGGCCAATTCTAATTTTTGAGGAGTTATTTTCTTCAGTGAGGATTTGTATGTGTTTTTACTAAGCTGTTCATTCTTTCCTTAACATGCTTGCATTGCAGCCATTTCTTTTCCCATTTTTTCATTTTTTTTTTCTCTTTTAAAACCTTTTTTGTCTCCTCCCTCATAAGGTAACTTTCCTATGCATATTTGGGTCAAATCCAGCTGCTTTTCTTGTCTTTGTTGCATGCCATTTTTACCTCTTATAAGTACATTCAGGACTGTGATATAAAGGTCGAACTGTATTGTTTCTGCAGTCCTTGAGGGGAAAACAGTTTCAGTAGTAATCTTCACAAATCTTTACAATTTTTCCTTTAATTTGCTCTATTATTTTTATCCTTAAATGCCTTTAGCATGGTTTTACTTAGTTGGATCCTTTGCTAGACTTTTTTTAAAGGAGGATTTTACGCTCCACTCCTTTCTGCTTTGTGAAGTAATAGTGTTCATGGTAAACACCCTCAAGATTTTACAAATGAGTTTATATTATAAATTGGTCTTACCTATGATTTCCATCTGTCTCTGCTTCTGCACAAGTCAAATGTTTTCTGACTGATTCTGACAAATGTTTTTTATATGTACTTTCTGTGCTCTTTAGTTCTTCCTGTAATTTGTAGCAGTTAAACTTCTGTACAAGTTTATTGTAATTGGGGTCAATGTCATTTCTATTGTCCGTTTACCACTTTTCATTGCTAACTATGAGTTTAAATAGTTCAAAATTGAGTTGGTTCTTTTCCTCATTTTTTTACCTTAACCGTTTTCATCTTTGCACTGACAATTACATTGACTGTATATAACTGATTCAGTCAGCTTCTACATATGTAACATGATTATTCTTCTCCATTAAGATATAATTTAATTAGTTTGATACATGGCACATTTGACACCTCCTAATTCTTTCCTGGAAAAAATTGTCTTTGATATAAAGGTATGAGTTAGTCTCTTGGCCTCTATCATTACCATTTCCTAAACAACATCTCCTCATACATTCTTGCAGTGTTCCCCTGTTCCCACCTTTGCATTGAGATCACTGTGTATCAGAATGTATGTGGATTTAACTTGGAGAGTTGATTATCAAGTTCTTGCTATAGTATCTCTTCTCTGTATGTTCATCCTTAGCAACCAGTGTTGGTACATAAGCTGCCATCTTTTCATGGTGATCTTTTTGCAAATCCTTATCACTACTACAATACATGATGACCAAATATCCCATGAAAATATTTTCTTGCAGTGGAGTCAAGATGGGATAAGTAGCAACTTCAGTTCCCTTAAAACCTTTTCCACAATGACTTAGAAAACATTCAAGGATAAATTCTGAGCAGATCAGTCAAGAAAAAAAATAGATGAGTAATTATTCCAGCCCACAGCCACCATAGGAAGATACCAAGAGGTCTACAGGTACAGTTTGGAGTCATAGTTCTAAGGCAGAGAAGAGCGGTTGTAGTTATGAGGAAGCAGGATAACTCTGTCTGTGCAAGGAGCAGAGCACAGATGAGGAGGCAGTGAAAAGACCTCTTCCCAGATCACACCACTTTGGAAGCACTGAAAACTTAGATGCCCCCATTGATCTATGAAAGCAACAGGAGACATAAAATACAGGAGCTTAGGCCAGACATTCCCCCACCCCAAGGTGAGCAGAGCCCAAACTAACTCTACTGTAGTAAAGTACAGAGTCAAGAAGTAGGCTGGTTAAATGAGCAAATAACAACAAAAATAAACCTGACTGTGAAAAGCTACTATGGAAACAGGGAACCTCAAGACACAAACAAAGAAGAAGACAGTGACTTGAAAACATTTACAAGGAAAGCCTCAAAGAAAAATGCAGTTTGAACACAGGCCCAACAAGAATTCCTTAAAGAGCTAAAGAGACTTTTAAAAAAAGAAATAAAATGAATAATTCGGAAAAGAAATGGTAGCAATGTAAGAATATGAACAGCTTGAAAAGAACCACATGCACAAAAATATTTATAGCAGCTCTTTTTGTGGTGTCAAAGAATTGGAAATTGAGGGGACGCTCATCAGTTGGGAATGGCTGAATGAGCTGTGGTATATGAACATAATGGAATACTATTGTGCCATAAGAAATGATGAGCAGGCAGACTTCAGAAAAACCTGGAAAGACTTGAATGAACTGATTCTGAGTGAAGTACACAGTAACAGCC